TGTCCACTAAGCTGATCCAACAAAGGCTAAACTTCAGGTACCACCCAAATGGGACACAATTTATTCCTGGCACTTCAACCTTTAATGCTTCAAATAGAAGAGCAGAAATAATTTTTTAGAAGGAAGTATTTGACTTTCCTGCAAATTCTCAGTTATAAAGTATCACATTATATGATTTCATTAAAAATAACTGACTCATTATCAGCTTGAGTACATGAATAACCAGCCTCAGGTGGAAAGCTTTTGGAGTGACATTTCACATACTGGAGTGCCATACTTCTACTAATATGCTAATAAGTCTTTGTTAGGCAATCTAAAAATAGCTCTGGGTATAAGGACTGTGTTTAAATGAGGTTTCAGAGACAAGTATGTATATCTGTGATTAAATTATACATTATGAAACAACATATTTTTTGAAGTGAAATGAAATTTGGTGCTCTTGTATCTTCAGCAGCTGAAGCCAGTGAACTCAGATCCTTTCTGTCAATCATAAGTGATGGGGGTTTAATTCTGTTCACAATTTTGTGGACCGAAACTAGTGTATTAACAGCTCTGAGGGGGGGCCTTGACTCCTGCCACCAAGAAATAGTTCCTTTCTGTGCAAATGCCTGATCTAAACCCTGCGGAAGCAGCTGCAAATGGACATGACATCAGCTTTGCTGACAGCTGAGCTGGCAGGCCATCTTTATTCTAAGAGTTCTAGTTCCCTCCCAGTTTCACTGTGTTTTTGTGTTTTGTTTTATTTTTAATTTTGTGGAAAACATATAATACACTATAATGATGAGCAAAGAATGGCAAATGTTATTCTGGATTCCTAGACAATTACACCAATCCTGGTAATGGCAAACGTCAGAACTACCAAGGAATGCCGAAACAGGAGAGCCATCATGTGTTCTTTCCCTTGTATTTCTTGGGTTACTAGCTGTGTGTCCATTTCACTAGGACAACAGCATTGTCTATTTCTTAGGTTTAAAATTAATGATTATAATATGTATTGTGTGATTTTACGGGTCTTGGGGCAATGATTAACATGTGATAAGCTCCCCTGAGAGCAAAAACATTAAGTTGTTAACAAGTTGCAAAGTGTGGTGTAGAGTTTACAGTAAGATATTGGATGTCTGCCGTAGGGTGTTTAAGAGTGGTTGAGAAAATCCTGCTAATTAAAGTCAGTGTAGCTTTGCCACTAACTGCAGCAGATCAGGTTCTCATGCATGGGAGAGGCCTACTGGAAAGAAGTTTGAGCAAAATTCAACATTAGCAACATACTTTTCTCTCATTCAGGAACTTAACCTAAAAGGCAACTTAGTAATGTTTTCATAACATGTGTTTACAAATCTTGTGAGGAGAACTAAGGGGGCATTTAAACTTGATGAAAAATCATGATTTAAAAAAGCAGCAGGGTGAGAGAAGTTTATTGCTCAGCATCTCTCTGCGGGACAAGACTGGCCACCACCCTGCGTTCCTGTCAAGTTACTTGTTTTGGAGAATATAATCCCTCTGACTTTTACCTCTGCATGGAAAATATCTAACAGAAAAACCCCAAACTTGAATAGAAAGCTTCTAAGATACTACATGTTTTTAGTAGCCAAACAGATGTGTCCAATGAGTATGCTATGGAGTGCGTGGGACACAGATGCCAAGCAGCAGAACTGACTATCTGGCTTTGACTTCCTTAATTTTCAGCCTTCACACTTATTCTTTATTCTCATTTTAGTCTAGTGATTTTATATTTTTTTAAATGTCTCTGGGCATATAAATCCATTTGGGTCAGAATTTTATCTATGTTATCAGTTTTCTGTATCGATAGAAAAAGAAATATCTATGGAGCTGACAAACGCTCTCCTTTATGTAGTAGCCACTGCCTATGAAACAAAAGAAGGCTTGTCTAGTTCCTAATACACTTGTATCTCTGTATCAGAAGTCACTGTCACTTGTTGAACAACCATACAGAATGGCTTCTGAGAACGACTGGTTGTTGACACAGGTCAATTTTCTCATCTTTACATACAGGCCCTTCAGTAGCTCATGGTAGACCCCTGTGCTCTGAAAATGCTTCTGAAATTGAGAAATAAAGTGCGTTCTGAAATCTGCAGCATTAGGCTTTCCATTCAGGTTAGATAGGCCCAGAAAAAATACCCAAATTATCCTGTCATATGGATGTGTTCTGGTGAAAGGATGGAAATCTTATTTGTGGAAGCACATCTGTTCTTATGGCATGCACGACTCAAAGCTAAATTGTCAAGACTTTCCCCTATGAAATAGAAAACCCGGGGAAGTGCTGGTAGAACAGTGCAGCTCTAAAGAAAGCCATATTTCTGTCATTTCAATGAATTTTTAGAGAGAAATTTGCTGATCGGATAGTTTTGCAGGTGGCAGTTAGAGATCATGCAGTACTTTTCTTGAACGGCAAAGCCTTGATGTTTTACACAGCTTTCTGTGTCCCAGTGATCAGAGGGGCTAAGGGAGAATCTTACCAATGTGTCTAAATACCTGATGGGAGGGAATGAAGAAGAGGGAGCAGGACTCGGTGGTGCCCAATGGCAGAACAAGAGGCAGTGGGCACAAACTGAAACATATGAAATTCCGTATGAACACAAGAAAACACTTTTTACTGTCAAACACTAGAACAGGTTGCCCAGAAAGGTTGTGGAGTTTCCACCTGTGAAGATACTCAAAACCCAACTGGACACGGTCCTAGACAACCTGCTTTAGCAGGGGTCATGGATCAGTTCTCAGGAGGTCCCTTACTGCCTTTAATGATTCTAACAGTGACAGAGACTTCAGGTAGACTATTTTCAAGTGCATAATTTCAAAAAAAGCAGAGCATATTTAATTCGAGCAGCACCGACAAATACTGGCTGCTGTAAAATTCAGGACATTTTCTTTATTCGCAGTTGAGTTCCATGTTATTGTGAATTCTGTACCTTGCTGCCAATGTTACTCTGGATTCATGGTAACATGGTTTAAGGGGATTATGTTTGGTTGAATTTTAGTAAGCAAGATCTTAAGTTATTACTCATGTTAACAAAACTAGGAAAATACTTTACCTTTTTATCCTTTAAGCTGGGTCAATGATTGTTACACTACCACCAAAACAATGACACTAAAAACAGTTCGTAAGAAATAGGACAAATTGCTAGAAGGGAATCACATCCTGAAATTAAAATGAAGGAATATTCTTCCTTGAAGAGGGACATTCCATACAAGTGCAAAATGATATTGGAAAAGCTACGCTCTAAAGACACATTGTCAGAGCAAATAACATGATTGTTTGATGTTTACCAAGAGCACAGAGGGAGAGAGGAATCTGCTTTCACACTGCAAATGTCTGTTAGAGAAGAAAAAATTTACTAGTGTTTGATACTTAAGAGAGACAAGTAGCTAGTACTCAAGTTTTCATTTAAGCAGAAGTATGGAAAATCCAGTATAAGCTGACACCATGTAATTCAGAGAGAGACTTAAGGACAAAATGATAGTCTCACCACTTAAGGTTGTATTTTTTCCTTCATTTTTCCCATACCCCTAGAGTTTTTAGATATCCACGGGGACTAGGCAGACATGTTACTATCCTTTTAAGTCTCATGCTAACATTTACTCTATGTATCATTTAAATAATTATTATTATTGTTGTTGTTGTTGTTATTATTATTATGGTTATTGTTATTATTGTTATTATTATATTATAAGTATTTTAGGGAACATTCCAGTGTATTATTTCAGTGAAAAATCCCACATCTGAATAGCCAATCTGATGATTTAGAAAACGACTACTCTGATAAATGTACTGCAGTTTTTACAGAACCTTTTTTTATTTCTCTTTCACACACATTTAATCGATATATTAGATTGCAATGGTGAAAAGTCTAGTAAGATTTTAATGACAAGATTTTGGAACAAGCATGCTTTGACATCATTATCTTATGCAGATAATCTAAAATTTTTGATAATTAAACCTTCACAGTACCTGTGAGCATTAATGATTTGCTTATAGGACTTATTTTATATTTATTTTTTTCCTCCTCTTTCCTCTCTTATGCTTTTCTCTTGAAGGTACATTATTTTCCAGAGAAAAAGTGTTGTCATTGCCCTAGAGATTCATCTATGCATTATAAATCAGTTTTAATTACATTTAAAATGTTCACAGTGTTTTTTGATAAATAAAAGTTTCTGATAACTTTTGATGACGTGATCAAAGTATGCTTATTGTTACCAATAACAGACTATTTCTTACCCATTGTATTAATATACATTTCTGGTATCTGTGTTGCATACCTATCAAGTTTAGATGGGTTAGAAAATATAGTTGTTGTGTCTGTTCAGCTTTGATAGTAAGGAGATGCTGGTAAATAGTTTGCAGTGTGTTTCTGACACTCTTGCTGCATGAGATGGCCTTTTATTTCTAGTTTACTTTTTAAACCATTGGTGGTTTGTAAAAAAATATTCCATGCTAATGTGGCTCTATTCAGCTTCCTCTGCTGTCACAAAGCCAGACACTCAGTAAATGGAGTACAGGCTAACAAATAATTATAAACCCCCAAATTATGTTGGAATCAAACATGTCTAAGATACCAAAACAAGTAAAGCAGAATCTCTTTATATCATTCCCCTTAAAAGGGGTTGTTGCAATATTTGCCAAAAAAAAGCTGGAAAGCAAATGCAATTTAATTTCAATTGGTATTACAGTCAGCAAGCAATTAAAAATAAATACTCTAATAATGACATTCATGATGTAATAATAATAAAAATACAAAAGGACCTAGGGCTAACAAATGCCAAATGCAACTTTAGCATTCGTGTCAAAACTGATCCACTTGCCATCTTTTCTTTTTAAATCCAAGTTTATTTAGCTAATTGGACAACATATGGCCAGATTTTGGCTCCATGACAGCCTTGTCCATTTACACCACCAGCAGCCATCATAATGGCAAATCAGAAATATTGCCAGGACAGATCTACTGTAGGCTGAATCTTAAATGTTTTCTGCTTCAGGGAGTAGTAGAAGCTGAAGTGGAGAAGAGACTGCAGTCGTGGGAGCCTGGGCCATGAACAACCTGTGGGAAGCTGTGCAAAGTGATCATGCAGAGGTTGGTCCCTGGTATAAGCTACAAAGCTGTGGGGAGCATCCTAGCAGGGTCATCTCCATATGTCTGTCACAACTCACACAGTGTAGCAATGTGCATATTGGCCTTTCCTCAGGATGAGCTGAACTTCTGTTGCACCTCCTTAGCGTAATACCTAATTTGTCAGGCATTGCAGTTCTTGGATGCAGTGGAAAGATTCTTACTGACTTCGGTGGGCTTTGGGACAGTCTGTGATTAGCTGATCATCTTCAAAAGATCACCATGGACATATGTATCTAATTTTCTATTTTAGAACTCTGATCTTTCAGCTGTGCTGCAATTACAAAGACCTATCAATTAAAAAAATAAAACCATTTTTTCATACAATAAACAGCAGCTGACGCAAACTATCAAGGAGAGTTTTTTTAATCACCATATAAATAGAAGTTCTTAGAACACTTAACACATGCCAAACTTCATCAAAGTCATTGGGAGTTTGGAACAGAAGGAATGCTGTCTTGTGACATGCTCTCTGTGATGTGCTTCAGATGCAAACCCCCTCACTGGACACTGTTGCAATACCATGCTTGTAAAGAAAAGCAAAAGGACATTTGCTCGCCTTTTGGGATTACTTTTGTAAATTAGCCCTGAAAGATGTTTCAGAAGTTATGGCTGGAAGACTCAACTGCATGACTAAAACCTACATAATTTGGACTCTGAAGGGCATCATATAAGACTAGTCACAGTTATACTGTTAACACACGCTCCAACCACACGCACACATGCTGCATCGTTCAATGTTAAGGACATGAAAACATTTGATTTTTGCTGTACTTGTGAGTATGTTCAGGGCAACAGCACAGAGCAATGTGACGTATTAAAATTTCTGCTGCACGCTTACTTCTATTGGTGTGAGTGTGACTCACTGTGCAATGGGACAGAAATTGCACACAGAGCTCAGTCCTAGTAAGACAGTAAAAGAGAATCTTTTGACAACTTGGATCCTATGAGGTTTTTTTGTTAAGTCTGAGGGATTTTTTTAAGCATCTAAATATTAGGTCTGATCCTGCTGCTTACAGTTAAATCCTGTTCATCCAGTATTTGTGGGTTTTGCACATTATACCAATTTCAGTAGCATTACATTTATCGAAATCTACAGTAAGGAAGATCAGAATCAAAATGGATAGGCTAGGCTAGGCTAGTCTAGGCTAGGCTAGGGTAGTTCGGCTGGAAGGGACATGCAACAATCTACTGTAACTGCCTGAACAACTTTGGGACTGACCAAAAGCTAAAGCACGTTATTAAGGGCATTGTCCAAATGTCTTTTTAACACTGACAGGCTTGGGGCATCAACCACCTCTCCAGGAAGCCTGTTCCAGTGTTTGACCACCCTCTTGGTAAAGAAATGCTTCCTAATGTCCAGCCTAAGCCTTCCCTGGTGCTACTTTGAACCATTCCCATGTGTCCTGTCACTGGATACCTGGGAGAAGAGATCGGCACCTCCCTCTGCCCTTCCCCTCCTCAGGAAGCTGCAGAGACCAACGAGGTCGCCCCTCAGGCTCCTTTTCTCCAAAACAGACAATCCCAAAGTCCCCAGCCACTCCTCACAGGACATGCCTTCCAGCCCTTTCACCAGCTTTGTTGCCCTCCTCTGGGCACACTCAATGTCCCTCACATCCTTCTTAACTGGTGGGGCCCAGCACTGCGCACAGCACTCGAGGTGAGGCCGCCCCAACGCTGAATACAGTGGGATAATCACCGCTTTTGCCCTGCTGGTTACGCTGTGTTGGATGCACCCCAGGGTGCCGTTTGCCCTCTGGGCTGCCGGGGCACACTGCTGACTCACACTGAGCTCAGCATCACACCAGACCCCAGACCCCTTTCTGCAGGGCTGCTCTCCAGCCAACCCTCTCCCAGTCTGTACTTGTGCCCGGCGTTACTCCATCCTAGGTGCAGCATCTGGCATTTGGACTTGTTAAATTTCATCCCATTAATTGTTGTCCAATGCTCAAATCTACCTAGATCCTTCTGCAAGGCATCTTGTCCCTGAAGAGAGTCAACACCTCCTTCCAGTTTTGTATCATCAGCAAACCTGATCATGGTGCATTTGACTCCTGCATCCAGACCATAGATAAATATACTGAAGAGGACTGGTCCTAGGATTGAGCCCTGAGGAACACTGCTGGTGACCAGTTGCCAGCCAGACGTAGTCCCATTCACTACAACCCTCTGAGCTATGCCCTTCAGCCGGTTCTTCACTCATCACACCATGAACCTGCTCATCCCACAGTTGGACAACTTGTCCAGGAGGATGCTGTGAGGGACAGTATCAAAAGCCTTACTAAAATCCAGAGAAACTGCACTCACCACCTTCCCTTCATCCGGTGGGTGTGTGACCTTATCATGGAAGGATATCAATTTAGTTAAACAGGACTTTCCCTCTGTGAACCCTTGTTGAGTGTGCCTGATGAATCTATTGTTCTTATTGTTCTTTAAATATCTTTCAATAGCACTAGTATGATCTTCCGCATAGTTTTCTCAGGTACTGAGGTGAGACTAACAGCTCTGTAGTTTCCTTGGTCATCCCTCATGCTCTTGTAAATTGGAACAACATTGGCTGCTTCCAGTCAGCGGGGATTTCCCCAGACTCGCAAGATCTTTGGTAGATGATAGAGAGGGGTCCTGCCATAATATCCACTAGTTCCTTCAGTGTTCTGAGATGAATCCCATCAGGCCCCATGGACTTGTGAACATTCAGCTGATACAGGTATTTCCTTACAGTTTCAGTGTCCACAAATGGAAGGTCACAGTTCCCACACTCATGTTCTCCAGCTCAGGGACCAGTCAGCCCAAGGTCTATCAGTGTTATTAAAGATTGAGGCAAAAAATGCATTGAGTGTCTCTGCTTTTTCTTCATCCCTGTTAGTTGACTATCTTCAACAAGTATCAGTCCAATATTTTCTTTAGAACTCCCCTTGCTATTAGCATACTTAAAAACCCCTTTCTTGTTGTCTGACACGGTTTCAACTCTAGCTGAGCTTTGGCCTTACATGTCTTCTCCCTGCATATATGAATCACAGCTCTATAACCTTCCTGTGGATCCTGACCTTGCTTCCAGAGGTCATACAGTTTCTTTTTCCTCTAAAGCTCCAGGAGGAGTCCCCTGTTCAGCCAAGGTGGTCTGCCCTGCTTGCTTGACTGACACACTACTCCTGTGCTTCTGAAAGGTGGTTCTTAAAGACTGACTAGCACTCATGGACTCCTAAGCCCTCAAAAGCAGATTTCCAGGGCAGTCTGCTAAATAGCTCCCTGAATAGCTTAGAACTTGCTCTCCTGAAATCAAGGGTAGAAACTCTGCTGTCCTTTTTTCTCATTACACTGGAAATTTTAAAATCAACCATTTCAAGATCACTGTGGCCAAGACAGCCACCTACCATCACATCTCCCATGAGTCCTTCTCTGTTCACAAATACCAGAATATAGGAGCAGAATCATTCAAATGGCTCCATGTTGAACTATGTAGGTACAAAGTGTTGTCCTGGTAGATCAGCAGATGTTCCTGAGTTAGTTGCAAATGTTTTGTAGTTGTTCTAATCTCTCTCGTGCCATTGGACTGTACAGACAGCTATGGCTAGGAATAATGGCAACAAATAGAGAAGGGAAAGGTGTGTGTCCTGAAGAGAACAGCAAGAAAAATCCCATTCTAAAAATATCTTCCTTCATTTTATGGAAGAACCACACCTACCTAGGAAATGCAGACAAAGTTTAGAAAAATTATAACCAACAGAGAGGGTGGAGAAGAGCACAGAAGAACATGGTGGAAGTAGAAACATGGGCTGTGAAGCAGCTGTTGTTCTGCCACACCTTCTCTTTGATTTGGGGGCTTCTTATGAGCTGGATCTTTTTTGAAAGGTCACAGGTCACCTCCTGTGCTCTCTGCTTTCTGCAGTAGGGCTCACAGTCAGTGGTTCTCTGGAAAGGCAGTTCACCTATTCTCACCAGTTGGAACTTTTTCACCTGAGTAGGCATAAACCAGAGCCCTAACATGGTTTAGTGACTGGGCGCTCTCAGGCACACAGCAACTTATAGCACAGAAATTTCCTCCACCCTGAGACTGTGATTCTGCTTTTGGCTCTGTCTTTGGGGTCCTAGGTGAGTTTGGACTAGTTATTTCATCCCTTTGTGCCTTTCTTTCCCAGTTTGTTGGAGCAGGGTTGGGGGAAACACATCTCCAATGTTAAAAATTACTAGGGCCAGTATGAAGTCCTGAAATTCATGTTATTGGAGGTTTTGTTATTAATGTTACTCTTATTCATCAAAATCATTGAATTCTGTCACTACTGATCATGGATTGATTGTGTGCACACATATTTCATACAGATACTTGTTCATAAACATCTAAAAATTGCTTTTTGCAATCACCTTTAATTACAAATTTGAGGTTTTTTTTTAAAGTTAATGCTCCTTATGAATGCTCATAGAAATCACTTCCAAAATATCTAAAAGTTTTCTACAGTGAATTTGTTTGTAAAAACAGTGTATATATACAATTTCAACATACACATCCAAGTGTGATTGTTACTGTAATTTGCAAAGGCTGTTTCCTGGTTCAGTGCAATGTGCTATTTTTTTTTTTTCTTTGAATGAAACTTTTATCAACACTGCAATTTTGTAAATTAATAAATAGTAGAAAAAAACTACTATTAGTAAATAGTAGACAAAAACTAACTGCAGATAGGCTTGTAATGTATATAAACAGATCTGATGCGTAGTATATATGACATGAAAAACAATACCTAATCAGACAGTTTGTTTGGGGGGATTTTTGGTGGGTTTTTTGGTGTTTTTGTGTTTGTTTTTTTTTGTTGTTGTTGTTTTTGGTTTTTAAGAAAACAAGGCAATGCCTTTCTTTGTTTTGCATCTCTATAGCAAACTTATCATTGGATATTTTTTCCTGTGTGCCTCTTTGGTGCATGTGTATATATATGTGTGTGTGTGTAGCTATATTGATATGTATGGTAGGTTAAAACTGACTCCCAAGCATGTCACCTGTTTAGAAATTATTTTTGCCTTAAAATAGCATGGATAGTGAGGAATTCCCCTCAAGCATTCCAAAAGGAAATCTGAGAAATGCCTGCTAATTCTAAACTACTATTTTCATTTTTCTGCAGCAGAAATGCACATCTTCCCCAATCATAAAATTTTCTCATAATAGAAATGAGCCAGTCCCCAAGTGTGTGGTTATCAAAAGATAATCTCACCCCAATCTGATTAGAGGCATAAGGCTCATGCCTCAAAATGCTCCAGGGTGTGATTATCTTATGATAACCATACCCTCTATCATGTCTTATTGATTAACTAATAAAGCTTCAGCATTATTATTCAGAGGAAGAACTAAAATATCAGCAAGAGATCTGATTCTGGAATGGGAAGGATTCTTTGAAGCACTCCAAATAATCTTTCTTGTTCTGATTATGGCATCTCTGAAATTATGGCTCACCAGATGCCAGTTTTTGTTTCTTATTGGTGATTAATTCAATGGTATATTAAAACTGAACCATACCTAGATATATACTTATGTAAAGACACATTTACACTAAACTATTTGCTTTGTATTTATATTGCAGATTTAGGTTACATAGCGGAATAGAATTATGTTCTCTAGAGAGGACTTCATAGTCCAGACACTAACTGTGCTCTTCATTCAGGGCAGCTCTAATTTTTGTATACAGTTATGGTGTGGAGGGATCTCTGTTCTGCCAGGGGTTTGCTCCATCTGTGCCCACATGCTATATACAAAAAGGGATGATAAAGCCAGCCCTTGGGTACCTGAGTCTCCCAGTCCGAGTCATCCAGAGCTACAGGCTTAGTACAGCTGTTTATCCCTTAAATCTTCTAAACAGTAGCACAAAGAGGTCTTAAACCAGGGCTGGAGCTTTAATTGCAAAGCCACCTCCTCCATCTATATAGTGTAATTTGTTCTGTACAAAAAAAACTACTTAATGGTGTGGGACTTGCTTGAACAGGCAATCTGAAGGCTAATGTCACAGTCAGAAGATTCTGATCTCCTCTGCATCAGTGAAAACCTGGAATTATTTCACTGACTTCACAGGTTAATAGATACATCTAAGAAGAAAATACGTCTAGTGTATGCAAAAAGAACCTCACTAGGAATTCCCTTGCAGTGGAACTTCTACATACTGGTGACAAAGGAGCCAATATGTCCTCTCTGTTAAGAGTTAGATGCCTCTCTGGAAACAAAAGACAATATTTACATCTGTATTGCAATCTCATCTTTCGATGAAAATTTAAAACAATTAAACAGCTGATCAAACCTCTCATGTAGGGATGTGCAACTTACACCTAACAGAGGGATCATTATACAGTAGTGCAATCCACACCACAGGAATCCATTGTATTGAATTCTTCATCAAATTTGCTCTATCTATTGTGTTGCCATCCACTCTGTTAATTTCTGTAGGTACGTGGAGGTAACTGGAGAGTTGTCATCCTATCCTTCCATGCTGCGTGGCAAAAACATCTTGTTGTTCCTACTGCCAGCACAACTCCCTTTTGGCTAGTCACAGAGGGAATGTGGGTATAGATCTGGTTCTGGAAACCACTGGTATTTACATTACCGTGTCACCAACAACATCCTAAAGCAGGTTCACATGACTGGTAGCCAAAAATGTTTTCCTTCAGCATTCTCACAGATGCTGCAGCCACTGTGGCAGTGCTGCCATTTTTAAATGGGAACTGCTAAAATCTCTGGAAGAGATGAGGTGTTAAGACTGTAACCTGTCTCTCTTCAAAATTTATTTCAGAAGGTGAGTGGTGTTATCCTAGGACATGCACCCATAAGAGGAAGGATAAATCACCCTCTGGAGTGTCTGTCTCTCAGCATTAACAACAGGGAAAGACAAGATGACTGGTTTGGATGGGATGCCTGTTTTTTATACAGCCAGGTGAGATGAGGGTATTTCTGCCTTTATTATAATCAAGTCATAACTGGAACATGGCCTATTACTATACAGTCTGGGGCTTTGCCAGGCTGCGTGCCATGGAGCTCTGTGCAGCAGAGCTGCCTATCTTCTGCGCGTAAGATTTAGTGCCAGATGCCAGGCTTGCTCTCAAGTCCCATCTTTCTCTGTACAATGTTCCGAAGAGGAACGTACAGTTCCTGCTGAAGACTCATCCGACTGAGGAAAACTCCCCTTTCAATGGTACCTTTCTGTTCTATTGTTAATTACTATGAATAGATTTCATCCTTAATCATAATACATATTCTTCTTGTCTTGAATAGATTACACTCCAGGTGTCAGAAAGGGAAGAAACAGGGCAGATTTAGAAGCCCAGAAATCATAAAGTGGTCATTTTTAAAATGTCAGGATATTTTGTCACTCTCTTTCAATTCCCTATGACAATTACAGCTTTGTCTTTCTATGGTGTCCATAAAGTAATTTTACAAAAGTGTTGGTTTTGTCCATAGTTTTGTAGTGGAAAATGTCATGTTCTCTAAGTATAAGCCTATGTACCTTGAGCTTAGTCTTGTTCCAAGATTTTTTTTTTTTTTTTTTTTTTTTTCCAGAGAGAAGAAACCCAAACTGTCATTCTGACCATCAAAAAAAAAAAAAAAAAAAAAAAGTCAGTATATTTCCATTCCCTGAAACATCCTCAAATGAACAGTACACCTTCAGGACAGGGCAAATGAGTGACTACTAAATCAATGGACTCCCATGGTCCTCATTTTACATCACACTTTCTATTCATCTTAAGCAAAAGCTCACTGGCTGAAGTATATGTAGTAAGCAGATCTGCTTCCTTCAATAAGGTGGGGAAGGAATCTGACTCATGCTTGAAGAAGAGCTTTGTAATAGCTCCAAAATCCTTTTGAAATTTAAGAACTGATCATCTGTTTCCAACAGAATTACTTTACATGAAGAAAATTTTTAGTTGAATATAAAAGCTCTACTCCTTCAAAATCGAAGGTACATCATTATGAATGAAAAAAGCTCTCAGGGTACTCCCTGTCAAATTCAGGCTTACATCCGATGGCCAGTCTGTTTTTTTCCATGCTGGTCACAGATATACAAGCCAACAGCAGATGCTGTGAGAACATCCACTTGCCTTCCTGTCTCTGCGTATGACTTCTCTCCCCCTGCTCTGGTCACTCGACTGCCCCGGCCCCCGCCGAGGGTCCCTGTGCGGTGCGTGCGGCAGCGAGGCCTCCAGCCCTGAGCTGCAGGAGTTCTGGACCCTGCGCAGCCTGCAGAGCACTTCTAGTAGCTACGTGAGATTAGTGACCTGCCAGCCTCCTTCGTTGCCAGCACAGATCATCAGCAATGAGAGAAGTCATTTCAATGAGACAAGGATAACACATCTGAACCACGGTGATGACCGAGAACAAGGTATTCTACATGCATGTGTACAATCTCCAAAACCAGGTAATACCTCATTTTAAACTTTAGATTTCCCTGACTTCTTGACCCATTTTCCCCAAATCTTAACAATATTTTAAGCATATTGGAAGAGTGGAGCATATAAAGAGACTTTAATTTTCTACATAATACCTTTTAAAAATTAAGAATTTAATTAAATCTTTATATAAATAGTGACATAAAAGATGTTATATCTAGAAAATACTAATCCAAGAAATCATATACAACTTGTTGCCCATTTGAATGTAAAAGCATGCAGTCAATCATGAGGGTGGATTTATTGTTTATTTGCTAATTTGTTTAAGTTTTTTATTGACATTATCCTAGGCAATATATTGGGTTTGGTATATGACTACAGTTACAGAGGCACTGCTGTAATGAAGGGTTAAATGTCAGTATGTTCACTATTCCCAAATCATGCCTTATACCGCATATAGTTTTACTGATTCAGTAGGAAAACTTGCACAGAAAAATATTCTTCAATACCAGAAAAGGAATGACAGAATGGTTCTGTGCCATTTGGGACACAGTTTTGTCCACTGGAAGTTGGAGAGTAGTTTTAAAAAATATGTGTTATTTTCATCCCTGCAACATGAAATGCAACTACCTAAATCAACACATAAAAAGACAACTCTAAGCATGATGCCTAAAAGTACTAATGCAAGAGAAAGAATACTTTAAATGCTGTACAGTGCTATTTTAAGCATAGGTTTTGGACAGATATTAATTTTTTGTAAAGACCGCAAAAGTGGCATTATTGTTAGATAAAAATAACAGCTGCAAGGGAGGCTGAAATTCTTTCTGAGATAACAAAGAACAAAGGAAGACTTTGCATCAGGATTTGTGTCAGCTTTAACAGCTAAATTGTGGTCTCATCTCAGTGGGCAGGATCACCACTGAAGGTATTGCGTGACCATGTTGAACCATGCCCAAGGGGAGAGTCTGGCCCAAGCGGATGACCAAATCCAGGGCTGAGGGCCAGTACCCAGTGAATGGGTTGTCCTTTCACTGAAGTCCTCCAGAAAGCAAAGAGGCTCCTCTCTGTCTGTGTGCTCTGACAGAAAAGGGAGCAGGAGGGCTTTAAGCCATGTCAGTCCTCTACCCTGGCTGATACTCCAGCCCAGCAATCTCCGGTGCTAGCACAAATGAGGAGGGTACATCGCAGCACAAGACTGAGTACCTACACTTCCCCTGAAGAAGTGGAATAGACCTGAATGCCTATTTTAGAGTGCAGATTGGTTTCACTACTGCTCAAAAAATAAGTAATATCCCCAACTGAAGTCTTTTGTTTTCAGGTCTAAGACCAAACAAAACACAATACAATCCCTAGTTCCCTAAGCCAGAAATGGGCCTTTGTGTATTATGTGTATCACTCTGGAATGTTTATTCTGTGCAAACCAAAGAACAACAGGATAAAGCAGAGTTTACTCATTCCTGAATAAGTTAAAACATGTGCCCTGAAGAGGTTCTCATCTTGCAGACTTTGGTCTACTGGCCCTTTGGTCTATGGCTTTGGAAAACTATATGCTTTTCTAAGTCTTTAACACCCATTTTTAACAGATAGGGCTTGCTCTGCAGATTTTGGCAGTGCAATGTGGAATGAAAAACGCAGATGCGAAAGCTCTAAGAGAATATTCTTTTAATTACTGGAATATGTGTTTCATTTTACTGCAAAGACAAAAGGCAGAAGGGACTAGCAATGTGGAAGTCCCTCAGAGACTGAGGCTGAACATCATGTTCTGTCCTTGTACCGTGGGCCTGGGTCACACGGTCACACAGGCAGTGGCTGATCAAGCACCACATTTACAGGGTGATACACTGAGACAGAAGGATGCAACTCCTGTCAGGCACAGTCAGTGCCAGCAGCCACTCATAGATCACCAAAGTCCTCAGTATCATACTTATTTGGGACCTAGACTAATTCATGGGCCTGTGTATTATGGTTCTATTGAAAATGTGTTTTCTCATTTTGGAAACTGATAATATAATTTGCTTCCAGTTACTGTGGATGTACAGTGGGTTTGCTCGATTTAAAAGCTTTTCTCCATTTGGGAATGCAAGACAGAACACAACTTCATGTCGGAACCTTTCTCACTCTGTGGGTAACTTACAAGTTGTATTTGGAGCGCAACCTCATTCTTTCCTGGCTTTTGCCTTGAGCTGGGCAATACGGACCCCTGCAAGATATAAATCCGAGCATGAAAATAAATAAATCACAGAAAGATGATCCTGCTGAGTAATACACATGTAAAAGCAAGGTAAAGGGAATGAGGAGATGTACAAATATTTGTCTGAATATGAAAGAGATGCTTGTGGCCTTTTTGTTTGCTTATTACAAATATTTCCATGCTCTTTGATTACTGCAGAGATTGAATATTAAGCTAGACCTGAGGCAAATAAGCCCTTGCACCAAGTATGTAAAGAGCATATAAGCCCCTCATGAGCCACTATCACCTTGCTCCCACTCCTCCAGTCTGAGCCACCAATGCCTCTAGGCCACGGAGGACATGAGGTGAGCAGGTAAGGCTAATGAATTAGGGTAATGAGCTACAGTTTCTCCCCACCATGCTGTAAATATGGGCTAATGGAAAGCTGTCAGGCTAGTACTAATGCCTTTCCTCTCCAAACCTAAACTGCACTGTTTAGCATTGATCTCTTTTAAGGGAGTCCTCCAGGGTCCATTGCACTCAGCAGTATGGCTTGTTTGAATTCTATATACCTTTGGCCCTCATTCTTAACCTTGTACCTCTCCTGTGGATCTTATTGCAGAACTTGAGTCTTTTTTATTTTCTTTAGAAAGGGGTAGACTGAGCATCCAGAGTTCTGCAGATTGGAAACTGGCAGGGCACAATCTGAGGCAGCCTAGATAGCATTGTCCTATTGCTAGCTAAAACATATGTGAACAGCCTTTCTATTTCTTTTTCTATGAGGCCCTTCAGTGCCTTTTGTCTATAGCCAAAGAGAGTTGAACATTATATTGCTGAAGGTCATAGTTCCTGAGTTGTAGGCACCCAATGGCATTTCTAACATCCAAATCCGATCCATGGATTTGCTGGAAATTTGGCACCCTGGAGTGGAATTTGTGTAAGGCAGCTGAGTGGGGAGCTGCCAAAGCTGGGCAATAGCGTGCCAGGGAGAGAAGGATATGTTTTAAATTGTATCCTTTGCTGAGAATTGACAGACTTACTCTGGGCAACAAAAGATGCCATTTTTGAATCACTCTTCTGAACCTTCTGCTTTCTCTGAAGGAATAGAAAACTTCATGTCTGGCTTTGAGAAAGCCCATGTTTCCCTGGTGCTCTGGAGCCTGCTGCAAGCCTCTGCAGAATGCCAGCTTGTCTCCATCAAGCTCTTTTCTTCCATGACGTTTTCAGACGCCTGAATAAGCCAGGTTGCAGATGTGCAATGTGTACTGCCTGACAAGCTGTCCATTGCTGCCATTTTTCTTGTACTCCCCTCTGTGCCTGGTTATTGTCTTTTTTTTTTTTTTTTTTTTTTATATTAAGACTGTAAAGCATTTAGGGAAGGATATGTCATTTTGCTTTGTTTTGCTTTCTGGTCTTTGCATTACATTAGTTCTTTGTTGTCCTAGATCGAGGAAAGAAATGCAGATCTTACTCTGTGTGTGTCACCTGATGTGTAACCAGGAGAGCAGAAGTTAGGACTATTGGTGGTGAGCTTTTTACAAATACTTTGTTAGTAAGGAATTAGTTTCTGACTACCATCACAGATAAGTAATTTTAAAACCTGGAGTGATGGGTAGGTTCAAAGAGTCTATATACTCTACACTGTATATTTATATGTGGCCAGCCACCTTTACATCTGAGCAATTTCTTGTCTGCTTAAACAGCAGGGAGTGGAAGAGAGAAACCTTTGAGAGTCTTCCTCTGGGATATCATGGGCTCCATGATATCTGGGACAGACAGATTAAAAGGCTACCATGGCACAGGATGGGAATGGTGCATTAGTTGTCTTATGTGGTAACAAAACTGCTGCTAATCAACAGGCAGATCTATAATAGCTGGTTTGACCTGTTTCACTACTAAATAAATATTTGGCTTCAGATAACAGTTAACATTAAAAAGGAAAAAATCAACAACATTAACTTTGTAGATGAACAGCTGGGGGGATGGTCTCCAAATGAAACTCTCGTACCCATGTTTATTTTTATCTATATTGTATTGAGTTCATCTCACCTAATTTTTGCCATTTGAAGGTTAGACACTCAGTTGTCTAGACTCCCCTTTTAGTCTGTGGAGAAAATGGTAGATGGGATGAATCACCTGCCAGAGGTGCTGTCTTTAGATAGCTGTCTCAGATGGCGTGAATGTGTCTCTGGAGGTGCCTGTTTCTCCCTTTTGTCTATAAGTGGAGGCTTATGACTACCCCTGAAAAAAGCCTAACTTTTAAATACACACAGTTGAGTAAGAGCAACCCCACCCTTCCATGTGCACACTCCTCATCTTTCCATCTGTTCTCTTTCATTGGAAATGGAAAAGCTTTTTAAGTCAGGAATTGTCTTCTGTGAGAAAGTGATGGGGTAGCACTATACTACCCCTCACTTGCCGGTTTATTGTAATCTCCAGGTCTGGGCAGGAAAGGGAAGTTCTGGGCTAATGAGACAACTCATCTCCCATGAGAATCAGTGGGAAGTGCCAGGGCTCCTAGCTCTGACGGGTGAATCATCATCTCCTGGCCTCACAGGGCTGGGGGTGGGATCACAGGGGTTCTGCAGGTTACTTCTGGCTATGGTGCCAAGTATATATGCATGTACCACAAGAGCTGATTAAGGTAGAGGAACACATTCCAGGTTTGTCTAGGGAGTAGGAAATAGATTTCCATGTGTAAATAATGAGACAGGAATGGAATAGACATGTTTTTTTTTCATAGGAAGGAGAGACTGGCAGAGCTGCAACTACACCACTTCTTGCAGATCTCCTCCTTTACCCCGAGTAATTCCATCTGCAGCGGACTCCTAACTTGGGTCCCTTGTAGGAGGTGTGGAA